TTATACAATATTAAAAGAAAAAAACAATCATTGTATTTTATTTTTATAATCCTAAGTTATTCATCAACAATTAAACAAATCATATTTTGATATTAAACCTAGACTTTTTCAATCATGTAATAGAAGGCAACTTGGCTCAAAATGGGCCGAACAAATGTGCATGCTGTCAGGGTTAAACCCCGAATCACACCGATTTACGGCTGCTATCAATGTTGACCGCCATTCTGCATCTTTAGGAAAGCCAAAGTAATTAGTACCCTGTCCTGTTTTCTTACTGGAGTTGGTACAACCGACCACACAACAGTGTTTGCCACCCATTGTTTTACCCCTGGAGCAAACCGGAAGTTGCTTCCTATACCACCCGGTGGGGGCGCTGCGAACATCGGGAAGCTCCTTGGTTGATTATAGAGCGTGACGTCATAGAGTCGGCGGTCCCGTTAATTTAGGTCTATGTTAATACATGCCAGAATTTTACCTCTGTTTCCATAAAATCAAAATCGTTACGGCGTCAACAAGTCGTGTTAAAAAAAACACGCCTACTGTTTCAGCTTGTCACTCACTGTATCTGGCTCGTCGATTGGTCGATAGAACGTTTGAGGTCGGTGTCGTCCTTGTAATCAAAAGCAGTGTACAACATTGTATCTTTTTCGGAGACTTTTTGTTTGCACGCTTTGTCAACTTACGATTACCCATACACGTATATGAAAATGTAAAATTTACATTGCATGTACATGTTTCAAGCCATGTCTCATGACTTGAATGTTTTGTTTATTATGTACTTATCCATATTTTCGTGAACTATAATAGTATTTATGATTACAAGAGGGCAAAATGAAGAACATTTCAAATGCTTGAAAGCTGCCCATACCGGCCGCTGCACTGAAAGGCGATATCATAGAACGGTGCAAGATGTAACGTTTACATGCAAATGTATACGTGTTAAATATATTTGTAAATGTTTCAAGCCACATACATATATATCTATATCAATTAATTGCCATATTAGACTTTTTCGTTGAGCATATCCACATGCTATTGCGTGCACAGGGACTTGACACGTTCCTATGACCCAGAGTGAAAAAAAAAATACCTTTCATTCTGGGTCATAGGAATGTGTATTCACAACATATACAACAGAACGAAATTGTAAGAATATGCAAAAAATGCATGAATTTTTTGATACCGGCAGCATATATTTGCCGGTATAAGTTGTAATTGCAATATTTATTCAATAATGAATAAAAACTTAATAAAAAAGAAAACAATTAGGTATAATTTTCCGGGGAATTATCTCCATGGATACGCTCCATCGCGAGTAACACTGCAGCTGATATTCGTGGGTACACAATGTACTATCGGCACACAGGTTAACTAACGTCACTGTACCCAAATCGGGACACTTTTTAGTTAAATAGCAATGTTCTTTATACAATACTATACTATCAGTTCCAAAAATGTTTGTTCATTTCACTTAAAAAGATACTATCCACTTTACATTTTTATCACAATTTGATATTTCGGGCGCGTGGTTCTATAAAAAGAACGATAAATACCATCAGAGTTACGTAGGCCGTTGAACCGGCGTTACTGTACCCTGGAAGAGACACTTCCGGTATGTTGGCGAATATATTGGAGTCAACGAGGGTTCTGATTAAATTTCTTTTCCAAACTCTCATTAGTTTTGATAAAATAGACTTTTGAAAATGATACCCAAATAAATAGCGTCGCACGGTACGTAAATCAGGAAAGTCTTGTTTTCGTAATTATTCTTACCTTTAATTGTTCAAGCTTAGTACAGTTTAATTATCATGACAATATTCTCAAATAAAACTGTATATATAAAAGTACTTCTTTGCATTGAATGACAGTTTCTTGGGCCGATTGCACACTTACTTTTATTATAAAATAAAATGTTATCGTTTTCGTGCACATCATTGTTATTATATAATTTACAAATATACTTAAGCGGGTATGAAAGTTATTTAACCGAATGAGTTGTCGAATCTTGCACCGTTCTATGATATTACTTCTCAGTGCAGCGGCCGGTATGGACAGCTTTCAAGCATGTGTAATAATCTTCATTTTGCCCTCTTGTAATTATAAATACCATTATAGTTCACGAAAATATGGATAAGTCCCACATGCAACGAAACATGCAAGTCATGACACATGGTTTGACACATGTACATGCAATGCAAACTTTATATTTCCATATACGTGTATGGGTAATCGTTAGTTGACAATGCGCGCAAACAACAAGTCTCCGAAAAAGATACAATGTTGTACACTGCTTTTGATTACAAGGACGACACCGACCTCAAACGTTCTATCGACCAATCGGCGGGCCAGATACAGTGAGTGACACGCTGAAACAACCGTTCGGTTTGTAGGCGTGGTTTTTTTGTACACGACTTGTTGACGCCGTTACGATTTTGATTGTATTTATGTAGTTTTTATAGCAGCAAGCGGTGTGACACTGTCAAAAGCTTTGCTGAAGTCAAGGTATATAACCTTGATATCCAGGGGTTTCGCTCACTTTCGCTATCTGCACCCCTGGAATCATCCTCGATATCCAGGGGTTACCCTCACTTTGCCTCTCAACACCCCTGTAATATGTCATACATTGTAATAAAATTGAAGACTCAGTGTGCGCCACCTTGTGGATAAGACAAGAAGACTAGTTCGATCCTTTGATATACATCAAAAGAATCTCGCAGTCACGTAACGGTACAAATTGACTGGCTTTGGGGTCGGGCGTCTCTCCTTTGTAATCTTCAAAGGACAGGTATCAGCCTAGCGATTGGTCATTCTTTTTTTTTACCTGAGACCAATCAAACAGCTATCTTCGTGCCTTCAATTTTGCTATGACATATTCCAGGGGTGTCAGAGAGCGAGGTGAGCGTATCCTCTGGATATCGAGGATGCCCTGGATATCGAGGATGCCATGGAATGTGTCATAGCAAAATTGAAGGTTCAGTGTGTACCAACTTGTTGATGCTTTAATGAACATCAAAAGAATCTCGAGGTTGCGTAACAGTAAAAAATGACAGGCTTTGAAGTCGAGTGTTGCTCCTTTGTAATCTTCAAATGACAGGTATCAGCGAAGCGATTGGTCAGTTTTTTTTTACCTGAGACCAATCAAACAGCTATCTTCGAGCCTTCAATTTTGCTATGATGCAGAGAGCGAAAGTGAGAATTCGGTATTTTCCCGTTATTCCGGAAATACTGTGCGGTCCGCATCGGTTTTTATAAATGTAAGATATGGCGGAATGTTTACATACTGTTGGTTTGTCTGCAAGCTCGGTGAATATGTGAGCTTTTCCTCATTGCATGACACTGAGAGTCTGGTACGTATAACAAAATGAGCACATACTTATCACATCCAACAGTTTAAGTGGGTTAAGGAGAAAAGAAGGTCATATTTGCTTGAAACTCTTCAAAATTGTGCAATACGGGGACACGCCTCCCTTGAAATTCAATACCGAAACAATTTTCACAAGATTTTTGGTTTTATTAAGCATGTTTGGTTCTCAACCAGCTGTTTGACTTTGTTTGTGTTTTACACATACCGTTATCTTCTTATTGCAAAGACAGCATATATGTTAGTGCGTATCGTAGAACTTACAGACTTAAGTTGTTGCAGGGACGGTTTACCTCGATCGGTATGTACTATTGGTGCCCAGTGGAGGAATATTGTTACTCAGCGAGGTAATCGCACCTCCAGCAATTCTTTAAACCTTATTTTCCACCTATTATTTTTTATTTTTACAGTATGATTGTCTTCCCTAACCACATACAGACTTTTGAGTCGATAATTTTGTACATGATGCAAGGGAAGTAACCTGTGTATACAGATACAGATGGGTAAAAGAAGTAATAACGACAGTTCAGGGCGATCTGCCACTTTATCAAGACAGGAACATGAACATTAACATATCACAACATAAAACAGAGAAAAACAGACACCATGAATCAATAATACAATACAAAATACATTAACAAACAGAAATTACTTATATAAAATATGCTGTTGTAATTGCATGGTAACAGGTTGTTTTGCCCTAAATCCTGTTTGCGCTAAGGGTTGTTTCGCCCTAAATCCTGTTTGCGCTAAGGGTTGTTTCGCCCTAAATCCTGTTTGCGCGAAGGGTTGTTTCGCCCTAAATCCTGTTTGCGCTAAGGGTTGTTTCGCCCTAAATCCCTTTCTCCCTAAATATATATTTTTTGATTTATACGCTAATATAATAATTAATTTTTAAATATATCAACTAAACTTATTGATGACTTTCTACATTGGTGTGAGGTATATTTCATGTAGAGTACGTGAGAGCGGAGTCAGCTTTTCACAACTGCCGTTTGTCACGCTCGCTTAAAAATAAGACAAACTTTTTTTTTTTTAATAAATTGGTTTTAATGATATGGAAGACTAAGAAGACTTAATTTGTGACTTAAATTGAAAGAAAATACCAAACAATGTTTTGCCCTAATATTTTTGTTTAAGGGCAAACATTACCTAGCTCGAATCAACCTAGGTAGCAGAGTACAGTTGAAATGGCCTGATCCTAAAAATAAAGGGCATGTCTCAGATGAACATGGGTAGTGGTTCAACCTGCACAACACACCTACATATATATGTATATTTATAAACTACATTTTGAATACATTTTGTTAAGAAGACTGATTCCTTTCTTTCGAAAACAATGGTTACCACATAAAAAAACACCAAAAAATGCAAAATAATATGATTTTTAACCCAAAATTTGACTCCCGCATGTAGATTTTTAGGTCACCTGAGCTTTGCTCAACTGACCTATTCCAATCACTTCCCGTCCGTCGTGCGTAAACTTTTTACATTATCAACTTCTTCTCAAGAACCAGTGGATGGAATTTGTTCAAACTTGGTCAGAATCATCCTTGGTAGATGAGGCTACCAAATTGTAAAATTGGGATTCCTACCCCAACCCTAGGGGCCAGGACGGGACCCAAAAGGGAAAATTAACCAATATTTCAAAAATCTTCTTCTCCAGACTCAGAGGTATTACAGTCATTTTCTCTGCATGGATGGAAAGATCATCAGGGGCTTTATTTAAATTGTAAATTTCAGGACCCCCGAGCTATCCGTTCTCCCTTGGGGAGGGGGTAAAGTTTACTATAGTTTATATAGGGAAACAACACTTTTGGGTATATTTTGACAATTTTCTGTTGGAAATTATTTTTACTTGGTCAGAATCATCTTTGGTGGATGACGGTATCACATTGTAAACTTGGAATTCCTGCCCCATCCCCAGGGGTTAGAGCGGGGCCCCAAAGGGAACATTTACAAATATTTTAAAATTCTTATCCTTTGCTGACATGACAGGTATTGTATTTCACTTAGTTTACATGCTGACTTCCACATCACATCTAAACAATAAAATAAAACTACCAGTACCTATGATATAACTCAGGTGACCGCTAAGGCCCTTGGGCCTCTTGTTTTTCTTAAAACCTGTCTGTCTCAAACCAAATTCGATTTTAATTTTTAAATCATGGAAAATGACACAATGAACAAAACGATGTATCCTTTTCCTTTCTCACTTTAATAGTGACCGAGTAATATGAATTCTCCTGACGGGTGAATTTTACCAATTCTGCTCCCAAACTACCATCAAAGGGAGGTAATCTGAAAATGAAAACTTGAATAGGTTTGTAGTTTTCATGAATAAAATTTCTCATTTTGGGTGAAATATAATGCTTTGACAATGCATGTGTAAAACAAAACAGTACAGTGATACTATGATGTTTCTGTCTTGTTTGATGATGTCATAGTTACTGTGGTGTCATCATAACTATGACATCACCAATTGGCATCTATGACATCATCAAGGCACACTGATATCAAAATGAACACCAGGAAACCTATCACAACAACAAACTAGCAAACAGACACACTTCCCGTAACCGATGAACAGCACCAAAATGTCAGATATTCTGAAACATCAGACAGGTGCCACCATAGCAACCGTTGTTTACTTTCCTCGCCTAGAATTGATAGTGACCCTCAGTAATTGTTTAATTAACATATTTCACAAGAAAAAAAATGATTTTCTTCAGCTGTAATTAAGGAAATAAAATTAATTGACATTATTAACTTTGCTAATTTAATCTGTATGCTGAATCAAATGGAAGAAAAAACAATATAAAATAGTGTAATCACCATGGATACCGGGGTGCTGAACTGAGTGAAACAGACTGAAATCTAGTCTGAATGCATGAGGAGATATTGAATTATGTGGTGCACACCAACTCAACCAGGTATAAAAATGAGGTCAAAGATGGAAAACATGGGGAAATCATCACTCACTGTGACAGAAACTGGATAAAACTGGATAATATAAGCTTATACAGTAGATTCCTCTTAATATCACTTCCCATTTGTCAGAGAAAAACATTATATTAACCGAAACATGACATAAACAGAATACATATTTTCTGATGTTTTCAACCCTCAAAACCGGAAGTGAACTTAGTCAAATGCCTGTGGTGAATTTCGGGAGAGTTATCTCTCTTGGACCGTGGACCGCGCCGACACGAGATCTCGTGAGCTACGTGATATCATCGCTGTGACGCGTTGGCGCGGTCTCTTATACTTCTAGATATCGAACCAGCAACACGTGAGTGAATTTCCTCCACCTTGTCTTTGATTTCAGGAGCTGAGAGCATTTACAACTACTTGTTGTGACGGTGTGTGAATAACACACACCGAATTCACGACAATTGGTGTCATAAGTGAGAAAGAACTCACGCTATTCGCGCTATTTTGACATTTTTTTCCATATATTTTTTTTCCCTTGCTGGTCCCCTCTCGCTCGCACGTGCGCTGGCCATTTTGTTGACCAGTGCGCGAATTACGAGTGAGAGATTTTGGGACAGTTCTAGCAGTTTATTATTGTTTATTTAATTATTTATTAGGGGTAATTCAGAGTCGGCGGTGTTTTCACTGCCGTTCTGAAATTTAAATTTAATTTAATTTAGTTTACTTGTTAGGTTTTCACGGAACTTCATTCGCCTGTATAGTGGGCCGCCCATATTGGCGGAATACATATGACAGGCGAGACTTGAGTTATCGTTAGTATAGGATATTATTTTTATATTGTAGGGAAATTATTATATGTTTAGTTAGGTTATTATTACATTAGGTTAGAAATTAGTTATTTTAGGAATTAGAAATTATTTTGTAAAC